AGAAAAAAAATCGAGTTAATAAGTCAAATTAATAAGTCAAAATTTGTAATAGAGACACAAATAGAATCTCTTTGCAAAACTTTTATAACATACGTCGTAATTCTTAATATTACATGTGACAAACAAAAAATGAGGGAGTGTGGACAACACTTACAAAGTTAAAAGCGGCAAAAGAGAAAGAAAGAATTCCGAAACACAAACTTCAATTCGTACTAATAGCTAGCCTGGCCTTAGACTAATATGCCGTCTACAAAACACTATTTGAAACGATGATGCTTGATCAAGACTTAGTTGGTTACTCTGTTTTTCTTTGCTAGCTTTGTTTCTGTTTGTGTTTTCTTTTGTTCTGTTTCGTTTATTTGTGTACTGTCCCCACTCTTTCACCAAAAAAAAAAAAAAACATACTACGCGTCTACGCCCAATACCCATATATAAAGACTCCAATATGAAATAACACCAATTAATACACCATGTGAAAATTATTTTTTATTAGTGTATTACAAGTGTCAACTTTTATTTCGCCTATGTGTCGATGCAGGTTGTTATTCAAACAAACATTGCATTATTGCATGGATGGTGTGTATGTTTCCCCTATCCCTTTTTTTTTAGCCAAGATTATTATTATTTAACTAAATTAAGGAGTACTAAACTTGTACACTTGTTCTATCTTATAAAAGTTGTACACTTTCTTTTTTGGTGAAAAAGTACACTTCTTTAATACGAAATACTTTGTTTCATAACTGCTTTTCCTTGGGTGTTAATTTAAAGGTGGCCAGCGAGCCGTGCCTGGTCGTGCCTAGGGTGGCTCGTGCTGGGACGTGCCTAGTTTCTGGCGGGGCGTGCCATGTCGTGCCACCTTTTGGCACACCCTAGCCCACGACATGGTACAACACGACACGACCCACGTGCCGACATGTCGTGTCGGTCCGGGCAATGGGCCGCCCCGTGTTTTTAGATTTTTTTTTAAAATAATTTTAAAATAATTGATATATATTTCTTTTGAACAACTTTGAAAATGAATATATTTAAATAAGTTTATTATTTTATGTTTATGTTTTTGTGTTACTTATTAGTATATTACTCCGTATTATTTAGCAAACAACAATGCATATAATTAAAAATTTAAGTGCGATAACACAAAAATTGATGAATAACTTATTTTATTATATACCGGTACGATAAGTCGATAATACAATAATTTATAGTGATAATTAAAAATCGTACATTAATTAATGAGTACCTTAATTTTATTATACGGAATACGGGATTCGATAATACAAAAATTGTACAATAGTATGTAATCTACGGAGTAATTATTCTTCTTCGTCTTGGTCTTGGTCTTCTTCTTGTTCAAGTTCATCAGCCAATTGAATTGATTGAGTATTAGTAGAACACGACGTTCATTCGTCGTTGTCATTTTCATCATAAGTGCGATATTGACACCGAGTTTTGGCATCCAACCAATCGTTGAAACAAACGCACATTTCAAGCTGAGTTAGATCTTAATAATAATAATAATAATAATAATAATAATAATAATAATAATAATAATAATAATAATAATAATAATAATAATAATAATAATAATAATAATAATAATAATTGAAAGAATTAGAGAATTCAAGAATTATATGAGATTTTTTTTTAGTAGTAAAGTTTATTAGAGAGTGTCAGGCGTGCCGCGGGTGTCGTAATGCTAGGCCGTGCCACGGGCCGACTGACCTTGCCACACGTCGTGCTTGTGCCGTGTCTATTTTAAAAAATTTAGTTCACGACATGGCCCACGGCCCACACCTGGCCACCGTGACGTAATTATATATCCCTATACTCTAGTGTATGTAGCTCTTCCTACACTCCCTCTAAAACGATGCGTTTAGCCTCCTATTAACCTAGTATCTAATAAACCCATCAAAATGACACGCTTCAATTCATAAAACCATCGAGATCGCTCGTCGACAATGAGATTTCTAGCAAGTAATGATCTAATAACTGAACACTCCCCAAATTACCTCCATGGTTCTGCATTCCAAAACCTTCAACGCTAAAGTCGTCGTCGGCGACGATGGCGGAGATGAATAATCGATTAATCGTGTATGTGACTTAAAAGTGTGTGATTTGTTCTTCTACTAGTCATTTCCATGGAAAATTCAATCAAAAAAAAAATTTCATTGATTGAATTTCCCATCAATTTTAGTCCCTCTTAAATTTTTTAGTCTCTAATTCTACTTTCTCTTTTTGACAATTATCATAAGCATAGTTGCTTTCTTTTTCTTTCCCAAATCATGAAAGAAAGTTTATTAAAGAAGTTTTATTTTTATTTTTATATTTATTAATGTTCATTTTCATATTGATAAATGATCACTTTATTTAATATATATTTATTGCGATATTGATATATACATAGTGTGTGTTCATTTTCGTATTTATAAATTAAATGTTCATTTTCTTATTGATAAATGTTTATTTTTGTTTTGATAAGTTTATTATTTCAATTTTGATAGACATTCATTCACGTTTTGTAAATAATGTGTATTGATTGTTACAAATCATACCCTTTTTTATCTATAATATGGAGTAGTAAGTAATTAAGTATATGTAGTACTTACAACTTAGCTTGCTTAGCTTATATCGTTTGTATGTCACACCTAACATAAAAGTATGTTTTATGCAAGAAGTATGATACTAAAAACATTGAGTAGAGAGCTTTATATGTTTAGCCACATATATTTTTTATTGCTCATTAATTTTATGCCATGTTCATTATCATTCCAATAATATATGCTCATTTATATATGAGTACATGCTCATTTACATATTATGTTGATCATGTCAGTTTCTATACTCTTTTAGCCAGGTTCATTTTTATGTATATATTGTTTTTTTTAATATTTTTTCATGTGTTATTTTTCCCCATATATATATATATATATATATATATATATATATATATATATATATATATATAATGATATTCTTATCAAAATCTTTTGCTCATTCTCATGTAATATAAAATTATTCGCTGTTGCTAAAAATTAATTGTTCCACAATACAATGAACTTGAATAATTGTCTTCTTTAAAATTAACAATTATACCAGTAGATCACATATTAGATTAGATAGTTTAGACCACATCCTATTGATAAAAATAATGTTGAACAATACAATATGCAACACTAGTCCAACCAAATTACTTGACTATATGAGAAAGTCTTGCCCCTAATCATACGAATCACATACTTTGAAAAATCTAATCATCATATCTTCACACTTCAACCGATTACTGTATACGTAGCAAATTCTAGTCAAATTCTCCCTCTGTCATTTCTATTTTCTATTATTTGGAAAAACAAATCCTCCGCCACACCAATCAACATCCACCACGTGTCCATTTGATATTTTTTGTTCCTCCAAATTTTTCCAAAACTGAATTTTCTAACTCACTCTACACGATGTCATTAGCCCCCTCGATGACCTCGGCCCCTGACCTGCTCCCCGACCGGCCAACGCAGCCTGATTTCATCAGGCGTTGACTCATCGGGTCGGGGAGCAAGGTCATCCCGACAAAACGGGCATGTATTGTGATCCGCTAACCAACGGTTCACACATTCATAGTGGAACACATGCTTACATTTTGGTAGCATACGTAATTTTTCATCCTTCCCAAACTGGCTCAAGCACACCGAGCACTCTAAAGAGCCCTTATTGAGCCCAAGGTCGGACTTCTCCGAGTACATAAACACGGGAAAAGACTCGAGGACAGATGGATTGAGTCCGCCGCCTTGAGCCTGTTGGGTTGTTGTTTCACTAGCCGACCACCATTGGTAGCGGTTCAAACAACTACGAACTAATACACAGTAGACAACAATTAACATCACAACAAACGACCCCACTAAAAACCCCTTGTTCCAATTTGGTTCCGAGGAGTGGAAAACATGGATGGATTGTGCTCTTACGAGTAAACGAGGTTGTGACAAATAAAAAAGGATTAATGTGATGAAGAAGCCGGATGAATGTTTGCAAAGCAAGAGCATGTTGAAGTAATTAGTAAGTTTCAAGGAGATTGTACTATTATGCCCATATATAACAAGGTACGCGTATATATATAAATTAAAAGCATGCTTAAGGAAGTAATAATACTCATACTAGTATAGACTACTGTTTCAATCGATTCTAGAATAAGGATCAAGTACAAAGTCAATGTCAATGGTTAGTTGATTACGTTTATAATGAATCTATTCAAATAATAGTGGTAATATTTGTCTATATAATTGGAATAAAAGTGAAGAAATATATGTTATTCTTCGAGAACGTCTAATATACTTCATATGATGACAATCATTGCAATGAAATTTCTAATAAAACTCCAAAGTTTAGTAGTTTGATGTTAGTCACGTTACAAGTTAGTCCATGGCGATGAATTTTCAATGGGATGGAAGGCTTTGACCGTTTAAGTATTCAACAAAGACTTTTGAGTTTTGACTATTCTTCAAGGCTTACTTTAGAGAGGGTACCACCCAATATTTTATCAATTGGGAAATTACGTGTTTCTCATAGTTAGAAACGAAAGTTGTTTCTCATAGTGAGAAACGAAATTTGTTTCTCATGGAGCATTTTGGTGAATAAATCAACAACGTTTTCATTATTGTGGGCTCTGCAGTTGAATAAAGCTGTTGGTTTATTTACGAAAATGCTATATGAGTAACAAAATTTGTTTTTCGTCGTGAGAAACTGGGGCATCCTCCAATCAATTTTGTAATCTTGGCTTGATTCTATTAGAATTTTATGAGCCACAAAATTGATCTTACATCCCGCTAATATTATTATCCATAGATTCAACACATAATTGTGAGGAAACATTCTTGTATTCTTCCGGGAAAAAAACGCACCTTCTCGTACATAATATTTCATGTTCATGTACAGAACATATGAATGAAGAAGGTGCATTAATGTTCCTTTTTTTTTTTTTTTTTGAAAACAAGGATGCTTTACTACATTAGAAGTTAAGAGTTATTACAGACCATAGAATTGTTAACTGGGACATCACCAGCGACAATAGAGTTAGAAATTACAGATCCAGTAGTTTGATCTAAAACAAAAGCAGCCATACAACCCTCAGTAGGGGAATGCAAAATACATAGTTGATCCATGGCTTCCAGATTCCTTCTCGCGTCCTTTGCAATCAAGTCTGCTACAGCATTTGTAGTCCTTTCCTCAAAGCACAATTCCAGAGGCTGGAGCTCCCTGAGCAGGTCCCTGCAATTTACAAGACATGTCGGGTTATTTGCAAGACTCATATCTGACATAATCTCCTCAACTGCCCGTTTTGAGTCAGTGCTGAGAATCACGTTTTGCCAGTTGTGGAGTTTGATCCATTTTAGGCTCAGGAAAATAGCTTGCATCTCCGCATCATAGGCTGAGTTAATAAAACTCTTCCAAGAGAAACCTTCAATCCATTCCCCCTTAAAGTTTCGACACACAGCAGCACAAGCAGCAGGGGAGTAAGGCATAGTAAAAGAAGCATCGCAGTTGATTTTGAGGTAGGTCGGGGGTGGAGGGATCCAGGCAGGTAGTGGGGGCTTTAGACTTTGTAAATTGGAGTTTTGTGTGAAAAAACACTCAGAAGCAGCCCAAATGCACTGGTTAATTGATTGAGAAAGGGGGATGTTCTTTTTTTTAAATAGCCAAGCGTTTCTTCTTAGCCAAATGTGCCAGAGAGCAGCGGGGAAGATAGCATTCCAAGGGATAGCGAAGGAGTGAGGAGAAGATAGTTGCAGATTTGAGGCTAGCCAGAATCTCCAAGAATGATCTTGGGAATAGGCAGCATGGGGTTTAATGGAGTCCCAGAACTCAACCGCTCTTGGGCAGGTAATGAAGATATGGGTGCAGGACTCTACACATTGAGGGCAAAAAGGGCAGAAAGGTTGAAAATGACTAAGTCTGAGGTGAAGGTTTTGGTTATTTGGGATTCTTTCCCAAGCTAAAAGCCATAAGAAAAAACGCACTTTAGGGTAGGTGGTGGCTTTCCAAATGAGATCCCATTTGAAGGGAAATGGAGGGGCAGAAAGTTCCAAACTGTGAAGGACTGACCTAGCTTTTGAAGAGTCAAATCTACCTTTAAAGGACCAGTCTGAAAAAGATGTATCAGGATTTGAGGAGAGGGAGATGCTGCTTATGAGCACAAACAAGGACTCGGGGATAGGAAAGGAAATTTGAAACTCTAGCTGGAGTCTTGAGTTAAGGTGAAGGTGGGAGAGTGATAGCTCAGAAGCAGACAATGGGATTGGTCCAACTACCCAGTCTCTAAGAGATTTGTGGAGGAGCCATCTGTCATGCCAAACATTTATAGAAGTACCATTACCAACATCCCACATAATGCTTTTCTCAAAAAAAAGGCCAGCTTTGTCCAATTCCCTTCCAAATGAAAGAGCCATTTTTGAAGGGAGTTGGATTGTTCCTGTTCCCTATATATTTCTCTCTTAACAACTTAGCAGCCCACCCTCTTTCATTATAGAGGGACCAGCATAGCTTCGCAAGAGCTATGAGGTTAATATGCTCATGGGTAGAAAACCCAAGGCCACCCTCATCTTTAGGAGAGCACTCTTTCTTCCAAGCAATCCAATTAATTTTCTTGGAAGATCCCTCACCATTCCAAAAAAAGTTTGAGCAGATAGAATCTAGCTTATTTGATATGGATTTTGGGAAAGAAAAGGTTTGCATATAATATCTTGGAATTGCTTGAAGAGAGGAATTTATAAGAACTGCCCTTCCTGCCTTTGTAAGAGACCTTGCTTTCCATGAGGCAAGTTTACTGCCAATTTTATCAATAAGAAATTGAAGGTTTTTTTTGAAGGTTTTTTTGAGGAAAGGGGGAAACCAAGGTATTTACCTAAATCGGCAGTGGCAGTAACATTTAATTCTTGTTCAAACTCGTCTCTCATTCTTTGGGGGGTGTTGCTAGAAAAGAAAATAGAGCTTTTTTCCTCATTCATCTTCTGACCTGATAGCTTAAAGAACTAAGAAAGGGTTTTTGTTAGAGAGAGCAATGTCTTTTCATCCGTTTGGCCAAATACCAGCACATCATCTGCGAATAGCAAATGAGAGATACTGGTTTTACCACCACGGAATCTAAAAGGGGACCAATCTTTAGACTGACATTCAACATGGATCATCCTAGACAAGTACTCCATACAAATTATGAATAAGTAAGGGGAGATCGGGTCTCCTTGTCTCAGTCCTCTAGAGGGAGTGAAAGAATCAGACGGTTTTCCATTAATAAGGATTGAAGATGAGACCGAAGAGACACAACTCATGATCAAGTCGACCGAATCATGAGAGAAATTAAAATAGAGAAGGCAGTGACGAATGAATGACCACTCGAGTCTATCGTATGCCTTTTCTAAATCCAATTTTAGAGCAAACACACCCTTTCTTCCCCTTTTCTTTTTGGTCATGGAGTGAACAATTTCAGATGCTATGATGAAATTTGTGTCAGTCCCCCTCCTCGGAAGGAAACTATTTTGGTTTGGAGAAATGAAGCTATTTAGCAAAGGACGGATTCTAGCAACCAAAATCTTAGAGATGAATTTGTAGCAGGAATTTACAAGACTTATGGGGCGGAAGCTATTAATTTTTGTGGGATTTTCTATTTTTGGGATTAAACAAATCACCGTTTTATTTAGCGATTGGGGAACAACTTTGTTACTAAAAACAGAGGAGATGAGGTGATGACAATCATGCTTTATTGATTCCCAAAAATGTTGGAAGAATAAAGCATGAACACTACTAAAATTCGGCTAAATTGCGACCGTATTTCTACGACCATCTAAATTTACGACCGTTTTTTATGCGGTCGCAATATTACGACTGCTTTGACAACGGTCGCAAATTTGCGACCGTTTTCAGCCTTTTAGACGATCGCTAGGATGTTTGAACAATTAAAAATAATTCTAAATTAAATTAAATCGTTTGCGACCGTCAAAGACGGTCGTAAATGTCATAATCTGCGACCGTCAAAGAGACGGTCGTAAATGTCATAATCTGCGAACGTCAAAGAGACGGTCGTAAATGTCAGAATTTGCGACCGCCTCTAAAACGGTCGCAGATTTTTAATTTTGCGACCGTTTTAGCGGTCGTAATTGTTTTTTATTTTTTAAATAGGGTATAAAAGAGATGGAAACTCACCCTAACCCTAATATTTTCACAGCCGCTACTCCTTCATTTTCGTATCTCCTCTCTTTCCTTCTCACGTTCCTCCTCTCTCTAATTCAATTTTCTTTCTTTTTCTCTAAATTTCCTCCCGTACTCTTTCCTCTTCTCCTTCTCGTTCTCTTTCCTCACATTCCTCCATCTCTGTTTCTTTGTTTCTTCTTAATTTATCTTTTTCTTAGGATTTCTGTCAACTAATGAATTGTGGTGTTGTATTTTTGTCAAAGTTTGGTATTAATGGTCAAATTCGACCATAAAAATTCCAGATTTGGAGTTTTTATGGTCGAATTTGACCATATAAACCTAAAGAGGAAGAAGTTTTGTGAAAGGTATGTATTTCTTCTCTGAATTTTTATTATATTTTTGTTTATTCTCAATTTTTGTTGTTTTATTTTGTTCTCTAATTTCCATGATTGTTCAATTTTTTTCCAAATGTTGTTTGTGTTTTTGTTTGAGTTTTGGTTCGATTTTTGTGTGTTTTTTTTGAGTTTTGGTTCGAATTTTTGTTGATTTTGTTCAAATAGTGGTTCAATTTTTGTCAAAATTGTGTAATTGTTCGAATTTTTGTTCAAATTTTGCTTAGTGTTTGTGGGTTTGATTTGTGTTCGTATTTTTTCCTGATTTTTTTTTAAATTTTGTGCATTTTATTTGTGGGTTAAATTGTTTTAATTAATTTATGTTGTTTTTTTTCGCTTTTTTGTTTGATTTTTGTAAATTTGTTCGAAATTATATGGGTTGTTTTTGTTGGTTTAATTGGATGTTTTTGTTAGTTCAATTTCTGGGTTGATTTTTTTGATAAATTTATGTTTTTTTGGGTTAAGGGTGGGTGGGTGGTGGTGGGTATTGATGGATGAAGGCGGGCGAAGGTGGTGGTGGGTAGAGGGCGGCGGATAGTGGTTGTTTAGGGTGGGCAGTGGTGGTGGCTTGGGTAGTTGGGATTTAGTTTCAGTGGATCTGGGTCAAGGGTGAGTGGGTGGTGGGTCTGTTTTCCTTTTTTTTTTTAACTTTTAGCGACCGCTTATGACGGTCGTTAATTTCAAGATTTGCGACCGTTTCATAAAGCGGTCGCAATTATTATTATTTGCGACCGTTTTCTTAACGGTCGTTGAAAATAGTAAAAACGGTCGCAAAAAATCTGCGACCGTCAAACGGTCGTATTTTTGTTTATTTGTGACCAAGAGAATAACGATCGCCATGTTACGACCGTTGACGGTTGCAATTATGTTTTGCGACCGTTTTTGCTATTTTCTGCGACCGTTTGAGGCGGTCGCAATTTGGCTGAATTTTAGTAGTGGAAAACCATCTTCTCCAAGAGCCTTTAGAGCCCCAACAGAGAACACAGCAAGCTTAAGCTCATGTAAAGAGGGGGGAACAGCAGGACAGAGATTCGGAGGAGATGGGAGTGGGAGGGAGGAGAAGAGGTAAAGAGGTTAGAGAAATGTGAGATAATATGACTTTGAAGGAGAAGGGGGTCAGAAATCCAAGTCCCAACCTCATTTTTTAAGGAGGTTATTTTATTTATTTTCTTTCTGATAGACGAGGAAATGTGAAAAAACTTTGTATTCCGATCACCATTGATGATCCAATCAGTTCTAGCACGAGCAGCCCAGTATAGCTCTTCCTGTTCGAGAAGGATGTTCTGCTCTTTACAAAGAGAGGCTTCCAAGTCAAATAGGAAAGAGTTTAATGGGTTCCGCTCCAGTGCTTTTTGGGCACCATTAATTCTGGATTGGATTTTTGATAGTTTGTGTTGGATACAGCCAATATGGGAGTAGGCCCAATCCTTGATCTCACCCGCTAAACAAAGGAGTTTATCAGGTAGTAAATCTTGGATGGTAGCCCAAGAACTAGCAACAAACGGGTCGAGATCCGGGTCGGTCAGCCACAACGGTTCGAATTTAAACATAACCCGACCCGGAGTATTGACCCATTTTTCTAAGGAAAGGAAGACCGGATTATGGTCAGATGAAAGTCTTGGTAGATTCTGGACTACGGCCTCAGGGAAAATATGGATCCAATCACTAGTAGCCCAGAATCTATCAAGTCTTTCAAAAATTGGCTTTTTTTTTTCTTTTGTTAAACCAAGTGTATTTGTGGCCAACAAAACCTAGATCAATCAGGTTACAATTGTCCATAGCCTCTTTATAAGCTCTCATATGGTTTATAGGATGAGGATTACCCCCCCCCCCCCCACTTTTCATGGGCAAAACAAATTTCATTAAAATCGCCACATACGACCCACGGCATATGGACTGAGTGACTGATATTTTCTAAATTTTTCCACATATCTAAACGAGCATTAAAATTTGTACTTGCGTAAAGCATAGTAAAGAAAAAAGAAGGTTTATTTTTCACCTGAACAACATCGTGAATGGATCGCGCATCTTTGCTCACGACGTGAATGGTGTTTACCCCACTATTCCAGAGAAACAGAATTCCCCCCGATAGACCGACCGGGTTGACCACCTCAAATGAGTTGAAGGGAAGGTTACTGATGATTTCTTCCACTCCCGACTTCTGCACTTTTGTTTCCGTTAGGACAACGATCTCACGGTTATGATCCCTAAGCAGCTGGCGGATGTTTCTTTTGAAACCATCTCTAGCAATACCTCTCGCATTCCAGAGGAGGATTGACATTCCTGGATTCATGAAGGGAAGGGCAGCCATCTCCGTCTTGGACTCGTACGAGGCGTTGTTGTTTAGAGTGACATACTGGCCCAGGTACTTGATGAATTTTTCCAGGTTGTTCACTTTGGTTTTTATGCCTGACATTTGCAGATTGGAGTTCCTCTTGACTCCCCAAGCAGCATGGAGTTGAATCTGAGTTGCTTGTCAGCTGATTAGGCACAGCAACTTGACATTGTTTGCTCCCTCCGCGGATTGAACCAGAAGCCATTCGCTTGTAATCAATAGGGCTTTTCTTTCGAGCGGAAGAACGGGTTCCGGGTCTGATATTAGTTGAAGCTCCCAAGGCATTATCAGGCCGTCGTAGTTCTCCTGCATTTTTGCAATCCACCATTGTAGGAGAATTCAAAGAGGTTCGTTCATGAGACGAATAGTTGCTAGAGACGGCACATGGGCCGGAACAAGGATCCGGGGGTCTATTGGGTGTTCCATCTGGAGGTTTGTGAACATGGGAGCTACTTGAGACGGCTCCAGCAAGATTTGGCGGAGCAGACCTGGAGTCAGGGCATTCCAGGAGCCCAGCAGACCTTGGGCATAGAAT